TATATATATATAATTATATGTCTACTTCGGCCGCCACATGAACCTGGGGTTTCGTCGATCACCTCATCAAAAGAACAGGTTTGGTCGTGATCCCTGTTGAAAGGGGACCATTTTTGTTCCAAGACGTTGGATTTGCACAGAGGATTGTTTTATCAGCCGTCGTGAAATGCTAGGTCACCCACTATGACGAATTAGTTTTTGGTTGAATTGAGAAGGATCCAATTTTGTAGCCTGCCAATATGGAGAGTTTGTTCCGGATTGGGGACACACTACTTCCGCATTTGCCAGTCTTTTCTGGGTCCTCAACACATTGGAACGGCGTATGATCCAGCACACTAACAGGCTCAAAAATGTTGTCCAAACAAACATTCATTCGTGAACGTCTTGTGTTGTATGCTGACTGCTGGATGAACAGACTAATCAACCAGTTTCCCACACCCAGTATCTCTTTAGGACAACTCTCGGAAGTATGTCGGCACGAGTGTGTACTGAAATGCACTGAAAATAATAAACAAAATCACGCGTGCCTCCCAAGCAGACCGCTGGCAAATAAACACAGGTGTGGGAACTTGTTGGTTTGTGAAGGGCATTTTAGGATAGCCTTACCACTAGTTCGATTCCATGGGAGTAAGACCGCCGTTACCTTTGCCACGTTCATTCGAGAGGGTTTATATGGGAGAATTTTGCTCCAAATCATTCATTCATCAACAGGTTTGCACAAGTGCATCCATCTTGAGGGCTAGGTTGGAGGAACCAAAATCAGAAGAATGTAGATTGTGTGAAGATACTGACGCTCTTGCACCTTTGGTGTGCACCGGATGAGGTTAGTAATTCTTTGTGCTGTCACGTGACACCCATAGGCCTGATCTAACGCACTACTTCAACAAATAAACAACACTATATTGGACGAATATATTGGAAAGATGAAACGAAGTTTGAACAGACAATACTAAATAATCACCAGCCGGTAGATGTGCTAGTGGTGATGTACTGGAAAAAACGTCGTTCGATTCCATTTCTACCGGTGATCTACGGTGATATCGGACTCAAAACTATGGCAATTTGGCTAAATTGAAGTTTGTGGCTTATAGTGTGAGAAATATTTGAGCAAGCTAACCGCTTGCCTCGCGTGTTGATTTTGTGGATTTTGATGAAACCGACCCCACGAATGTGTAGTGCGGAGTCGGGTCAGTTGCTTCAGCTAGCTAACTGTAGTCAAGGTCAAGTTGCATCGACTGCAACCACGTCCAATCATATGAAAATCACATGATGTGCTCACGATCATGTGGCGTCATACGTACTGACCACCGATTAAAAGTGACCTTGCGAAATCCTCTGCAATGTGTTGATTCGGGCCTGTGTTGGTCCAAACATTTCCAGCAAACAAAGATCCTCACGAGATTAGGTCCCACTAGAACTTTTGGTTGCAAAAGTTTCGATCCATTGAAGTAAGTAATCAAGTATGTGACAAGCCGAACCAAGCCAAGATCATTGGGTCTCCGGGCCCTCCTGTCAAACGGCCGAGTATGATACAATCAGTCATCACTTTTAGTTCAAGTCCACCAACTTATTATACACCACAGTGAACTAGTTTAGACAGGCGGCCATTCAATCACAATGGCTTTGATTACCGGACTTGCGAGCGCAAATGGTCACCCTCTCATACTGTGTAATAAACAAACTCCGAGCATCTGTAATGATCAAACTATTACTCGGAGAGTACCTAGACCTTATTAACTAATGGATGGAGCAAGCGTGGACGATATCTGTACAAGTGACTGGTTCGGATCCGACCCCCTGGTGTGTCTATTTATTAGTAGGGAATTTGTACATGCGAGCACTTTCGTAATGCCACAGTAAATTGTGTCACAAAATTAACTTAAACTTAACACAGTCCAGGGACTTCGCCCTCACTAAGATTCATCATCAGTGTGTGCTCTTGAGTTCGAACCTTACAGTCGCTAATACTTACTAAACACAAATGTTCACATGCGATCAAATAACCTAGGAATCACGCTAAAAGCAGGCCCAGGGAATCGGGTAGCTGGATGGATCCAAATAGTCTTCTTATTTGATACAGATCCACACACAAACATACAAAAGAGATCAATTCCCCCAGTCTCCATGTTTTTGAAATAGAAATTCACTACAGACCACATATAGGAAAAGAAGACAGAAATAGTGCTCAACATAAATTTTCGTTACCAAAATTTTCCGGAATTGTTCAGTATCTTCTAGGTGGATCACAACAACTTTAGTGTTGAGAGGAGATAGACGTAATGACAACTGCAGGTTGTGGCATTGGTTTGGTCAGTTAAAACCGTTGACTGAAATGAAAGTGCGTAATTGGCCTGATGCAAATCCTGTGCAAGTGCACCGCACTAATGTTGTGCCTGCATACGATGATGCTGAAAGCTTGTCTCCAGGTGGGCAGTTGCGTCTTTGAAGATTGCCTACCTGGAGACTACAGTACATTCCGTTACACTTGATGTCAATATTAATAATCTGAGTTCTCTGTACTCAGTTGGTTTCGGTAACAATGTTATAATCGGTTCCCTAATCGGAATGCCGCAATGGACACTCTGTAGCTTTAGTATTGTTAACCCATAAGTAGCTGGTTGATTTTATCCAACCGATTCACTAAATTGCAATATCATGTTTGTTGAACAGAACATCCACGTCATATATCAAACCGGTCCTATTAGGAACCCCAATCTTTGTCACCATTCATGCTTGTTTCGGCTATTTGATCAGTAATTTTGTCTGACCGATGATTCATAAGTAGAAAATATTGGGTGCTGTGGG